GAGAGAGAGAGAGAGAGAGAGTTACCGATTAATTGAATCACCAACAAATGAGACTGCCAGTACCTTGTATTCCAGATATGTTACCAAACAATGGTCCCCAGTTTCCAAGCCAACCAATTTTCCAAGCCTCCCATTTTCTAAGCCTCCCAGTTCCCCCAGTTTCCAAGAGAAACTACAACTCCTGTGATCAAACACACCCTTTAAGTTGCATAGTTTCACAAAATCTTTAGGAATTTATCTTTTACGCTTTCAAGAGTCCAAGTATAGGGCAAATTGAACTTGGACCTCTCTATATAAACCCCTATAGGCCTATGGCCAGTGGTGAGAAACCACCTTTAGAGGAAAAATTTCTCAATTCCTTTTGCAGAAAGAGTGAGACAATAACTTTAGCCTAGATTTGGGAGATTCTTCCCAAAAGTTTCAGCCCCTCATCTTCTATCAATGAAGATATTCTCCAAAACCCTAGCATGTGGGTTTGAAGTTATTTCCTCATATGCATGAGCCTTTTTCTTTTCCCTCTTGTGTGTCATATCATCCAAGATACCCCACAAACCCATTCAAACCTTTCCATAAAGGCTAGCCTAACCTCACCAAATCCTAAGCTAGTACAATAGCTATTGCAACAATATACCTGGTCTCTATAGCCTTCGAACTTAAATTTAAACCTTACTTTTACTTAATTCAGCCCTATAATCCATCTCATGATCTTCCTATCTTGCTGGACCTACTGAATTCAGTAACCTTTAAAGCCTTTCAGAGACCCTAGTACTATTTCATTTATACCTAACATTATACAAGTTGACCCTAATTAGAAACCTTCATAAGGCCAACACCCTGCTGTCCTAATTTTTGTAGGAACCTAATTTAGAACTCTTAAGTAGTAACATAATTTAGAATTCTGCATCTTACTAGATCTTTATTTCTACACCCACTTCGCATGGCACACTCCTGTAGGAGCCAACCGCCTTGATCCTGCATCAGGTATGAAATGCACAAGGCGACATGACTAGGACAGAAAGGATAGTAGTACAATTCTCTACATGGACTTTATGTTACAGGTAACAAGGAGGTAACAAGAGGCCATGGCCCTTCAAGAAGGTATTGAAATGGATTTGATGGGTTCTAGTAGGACTCTAGAGTGGACGAGCACTCCTACATGCCTAGGTAACTAAAAATTGCAGGTGCTGAACAAAATGTTAATACAGTTATTCTTAGTTTTGGGTGGGTGGGGGTGGTTATTTGATGAGGAAATTGATTCTTGTAGAGTGAGAAAAGGAGCCCTGGAATAGTGTACAATTAGCAGTATAGGCTCGAGGATGGTAATTATTGAGGGTGTCATGATGCCAGGCAGAGAGGGGGAAAATTTGTGATTCATATTTCACACCAAGATCGTAACTAAAGCGAATATAGACCCGGTAACAAGTATAATGCATACTACTGCTTGTAATTTTTTCTCATTCATCATTAAAAAGTCACATTTAAGCTATAACAATCATATTTCACTATTTGTAATACAAAGACTCGAGAAAAGAAGAATAAGAGGCATCGGCTATCTTTTAGTTCATCCATCACATCTCAAGACCATTAAATGGAATTTACATAGTTCAAATGGAAAGCATATTATACCTTCAGAGCAAGTAAAAGCAAAAAGGTCTCGACAGAGTAGAAGCCTCTATCAACAAAATCTCCTAAGAACAAGTAGTTGGTTTGCGGGCAATCCCCTCCAACTTTAAATAGCTCTTTCATATCATAGAACTGTCCATGGATATCCCCACATATCTGAAGAAAAATTCATAAGCACTTTAGACAAGGTGGAAAATAATTTATCTAAAATCATGTGAAATATGCACATCACCAAACAAGGTTTTAAAAGATGCCATTGCATACACGACAAGATGCCAGGGAGCTATTTAACAAATCAAACCATGCCCAAAATAGAGATTCAACTGATATTAAATCACCAAACCCAATGGAACTTTGACATTACCAATTTATGTAATATTCCTACTAAACTTCCATAACATAAAAAAAAAAAAACAATACTCTTGCACAAACATGGAACATACATTTTCAATATCCTAAAAACAGGAAGTGAATGTCAATACTCAGCAAAGACGAAAAAATAAGAAAGCAAGGTCAAAGGTAAGAGCTATTCTTTTAGGCCAAGGATCTAGAGTTGAATTTTTTACCCAAAAAAATGACAGCTCACTGATGCACGCACCTGGACTGACAAATTATGACAAATTAGGGTTTTTCTTTGAGTGGGGAGTATGGGATATACTTTAGGGACTTAGAGGTCAATTGGGCCTAAGAATTCACGTATTAGCAAGTGTAAATTAAAAACCGATGGTGAGGTTTGAAGCAATGAAGGTCTAATATCTTGTAGAGATATTTAGTACTTTGTAGTTGGTTTAAATAGTTGTTTCAATAAAAAGGAAAGGGAGATTTTTACTTTAGAGTTTATGTTTTTCTATTTGGGTGCTTGTGTTCTTCTTTAATGGTGGATTTCCTTCTCTAGCTATTTTGTGCAGAAAATTTGTGTTTGTTTGTTCAAATATTTGCATGCTCTAGTACTTTTATTCAATAATAAAAAGGTAGGTCCTACCTATCCCAACTTTTTAAAGCTGTTCTCAAACAAAGCTCTCAATTTCTCAATATGCATGAATTCTCATTATCAAAAATCACGACCTAGTGTCATCCAACCAGTAGTGCTCCTACTAATTCTAAAACTTCTTATTCAATTCCTTAAAATCCAGAAATTAGTAAAATAAACCAAGAAAAAAAAAAATTCAAAGAATACCCATCATTAGTAATGAAACCCTAAAACTCAACTCAAACTCAAGAGAAAATTGCAGAGTAAACAAGGAAGAAATTATAAATCAGTCAAATGGGGTGGTTTCGTTTTGTGAGAATACATACTGTGACTGGGGCGTCTACTCTCTGAACGTTGCTCTCTTCAACGAGGATCTCCATGGCCTTGAGGCACAGTGCCTTCACTTCATATTCCTTCAAGGGTTCACATCTTTTAAGTTGCTCTATTTGCCTGTCTAAGTCTGACATTCTCTCTAAAACCCTAGCTTTCGAGCCCCTCTCTCTCTCTCTAAACCTCGAAAGCTTTCGAGGCAAACGGAAAGAGGCTCTGTAAGAGAGAGAGAGAAGAGAAGGACGCCTGATCGATTTGTGTATATACTATATACGCATCCAAACTGTGGTCTAAAGTTATTTTATGCCCCCTATATCAATTTTTAATTCAAAAAATTATGTGGTACCGCGGGAGCATTTCGGCCTTCTCTCCAACGGATAAAACCAAAGTTAGACCGTCCAATTTTTAGATGGTGACATCTAAGTGTTAAAAACCTTAAATTTTAATATTTTTTAAAAGTAATCATCTAGTAATTCTCAATTAGTTTTTAAAATTTCAAATTAAAAAAAAATCTCTCCCGATAGATCTTTTGATTACGGGAGGAGAGATAAATTATGTTTCCCAACGAGGGGATAAAATATGGTTGTGAGATACGTATACTATGCTCAATTGGGAAGTATAGTTTATTTTTATTCCTTTAGGTGTCGTTTGGATATCTAGAAATATATTGTTTTTGAAATATATTATTGGCTGTTTGGATACTTGGAATATTTTGTCAGTAAAATATATTACCTGCAAAATATATAACTGGCAGTTTGATATCTAGAAATCTATTGTCTATGAAATATATTACTGGCCGTTTGATACCTGGAAATACATTGTCTGTGAAATATATTACTGGCGTAATACATTACATGCAGAGTGTTATTGTTTGACTAGTGTTTATAGATACAACATGAGAAATACATTGCATTTAGATTCCATAGTTTAATATGGAATTGTTTATATTGCACCTTAAATTTGCTCTTACATTGCTATTACTAGATATCGAGATTTAATACGGAATTATCTACAAAGAGACCATTTATCTTTTGTAGGTATAATCATTCTTGTATAATCATAGTTGCTCAAAGTTTTAGCTCAATCTAATTTATAGAAAAATAAAATAAAATTGAAACACTTAGGTATATGCTCTTAACTGTCAATGAGGACATTTCAATCATTTATTTTTCCAAATTATGTCTCTATAATCTTTACATGATGGTAAAAAGTTTAGAAGTCGAAGGTGTTAGCTCAATTTGATTTACAAAAACATAAAATTGAAATATTTAGATGTACTCTCACGTTATACAATTTTTTGTTTTCCTGCTATAGAGTCCCAATTTCACTGGACCTACCATGCATGAGCAATTATTTTGAAATCTCATTAATATAATAAACATTACCCTCTCATTAACGGAAACCTTAATAAATGGTCGAAATTGGCTAATTTTTAAATCTCCTAATTTATGAAATGTCAGCCTAAACCAAAGATAGTTTTCCAAACTCCCCACATAGACTGTTAACAAAACACAGTATTTTCTATTACCAGGTACTCAATTTTCTACCTTCAAAGTTTCAAAATTGGATATCTCCAATTCTAATCCTAGGCACTAGTCACCAAATGCCATGCAATTTCGAGACATAACCTAAACATCTTGGCAACCAATTTTTTTTAAAAAAAAAACTCTCAAGGACACTCGAGAGACCCATTTTTGGATGGCACATCTAAGCGTTTACCGGTCAAATTTTGAATTTTAGGATTTAAAACTATTCACTTAGGTTCGTTTTAAATGGATCCCAAAAAAACTGAAAACAAGTCTTCTAGCTCTTTTGCTAAAAGGAAGTAAATATACAAGTGCAAGCTTTCTATGATTCCTCTATAACATAAAACTTATATACTTCCCCTTATCCAACCGTCTATTCTGAATGGAGGGGTTAAGATTGCCCCAATCACAATGTCATGTCTCTACACTATTTTATTTTTAATTTTTTTTCTATAAACTAGTTTGACACCAAATTTTGGACATCCAATCCTTTATTAAACTCGCACTAGCGAAAAATATATAAAAATATATATTTTCATTAAAATAAAATGACCAAAATACCTCTGAAAGTTTCAAGGGATATTTTGGTCACTATATTTTACCAAAAAATTATTTTTAATATTTTTTATAGGTGCACCCCAATGAGAAGACGACACATATCAAATTTCATATTCATACAATCGTTATAAAAAAAATAAAAATAAAATGCTTTGAGACGTCGGATCTAAGATCAAACGGTAGTGGCTCTCTTGATCAAAATTGGACGGTTAGATCGTAGGGAAAATATAAATCTTCTATGCTGTAGGGGAAGACATAACACCATAAATTTTGGAGACGTAACATCTCCAGTCTAATGACTAACTCAACAAAAAGTTTTCACATGTACCTGAAAAACTAATATGTCAGATTAAAAAGCCTTCCAATTTTTGGAAGGTGAAATCTAAGTATTGAACAATCCAAAATCCAACCCATTTCTGAAAATAATCATCTAGTGGTTAGTGGGTAGATCTAAAATCTCCAAATAAGAAAAGCCTTCCTAAGTAGCTCTCTCGCACAAAGCAGTAAATTTACATATAGTATATTCCCTCTAGAGCATACTATATGTCCTCATTTTTAACTATTCATCTATCCTTTTAATCTTTTTTCTCTTGAGGCGGGTTTCTATCAAATTAAATAGGGTGTTAACTTGATGCTATAAAGAATGTGCACATTAAAATTCAACCAAAAAGGTTTCCTTTGAAGACCTCCAATCAATCTCGATGTATATGGATATACAAAAAGGATATCAAGTAACAAAACAGTGCATCTTACAACACATCATCTGAATGGTCCATTTTCTAAATTTTCAATTGTTTGTGTATTATTTTGCAGCTTTAAATTTCATAATTAGGAGGCAGAACTTTTGATCAATACAGGGGTTTCTGGCATTGGAAATTCAAGCTATGCAACCCTTCAAACTCAACAAGAGGCATCTCTCGCTCCCTCACCTTTTCAAGGTCCCCTATGGCTATGAACCTCTATTTGTTTTCACTTTGGCTTAGATTTCTCTGGGAAAATCAAGGAAAACAAGGATGATTTCAATGGCAAGGTTGTAGAAGTCATCCAAGGCAAACGTGGCCAACGGCATGTAAATCAGTACAACACAAGTTGTGCTCCAAAAGAGCATTTGAAGTTATAAAGAGAGCGCTCCTCGTGTCCTTCAAAGCAATTATTGCAACAACATGATTTTTGAGGAGCACATATTTGCTTCCAAGTGTTAAAGATAGGCATTGCTAAGATTAAGCAATTCTATTAGTTGGATAAGTAGTATAGGATAAAGTTGGGATCACGATAAATCTACATTCCAAGGGTTATTTAGATTGAGTCTCATTAGGATTAGGATAAGCATGCGGATCTATATAGTCGTAGTAGAATTAGAAAAAATGAAAAATCGTCAAATATGGGTTTTGGAAAGAGAGAATTGCGAGGTAATGTGCATGGATTTTATAAGAGAGCTAAAGTTGGGTTAAGAGAGTAGGGCATCTAAGAGTTAGAGAAAAAAATATAGGAGACACCAATGACGTTAGAAAGAAAACTATTGAGACATAAATAGTATGTAACAGCCTACCAAGGTCAAATATTTTTTAAATAAAAAGTTATCTTCCCTCCCAAATTTTTCTTTGTGTGCGTCATTATTTGAAGACATTTTTCAGCACCATGGGCCATCGATGCAAAATAAAATAGAGAAGCCGGTCAATAAAGCATGACAAACAGTAGAAATTTCAACAGTCTCAGAATGACCCCAGAATGAGTCAAGATCTTCAAAAGAAGTCCAAAAAGTCTCCTGCCAAGTTTCGTTGCATTATGACATGTCTAAGGCAATGCAGACTAAGAAACAATTTCGGCAGAAGCAACCTTTAGTACCCTGAAACGGACCATGCCTGTCTTGCTGCCACACCAGATTAAGACAGTTGTATTGGCCTAGGTTTCGAGTAGTATTGCCGTTGTGCTGGTCTTGAGTACCATGCCCGTCTTGCTACCACTCTGAGTCTGTCACTGGTCCAGCTATCATGCTAGTTGCATCCCCTTATTAAGTTCTCTCCTCTTTTCTACTCCTATTCGAACCTTCCATTACATCACCCTAACTTCATCATGTGAATGTGCATTGCCCTAAGACAAGGGTGAGTCCTTTGGGCCACTTGTGTTGAAAATTAACCATGGTAATGTTCTGTAGAAAGCAAGGAGATTGCAGGTCAAGGCAGGTGATTTCGAACCAGCTGAAGCTGCTAGGGGGCTTTCCATCGTGATCTAAGAGGGCACCCGCGCGAGTCAGCCTGAGTAAGTTACGGACTCAGGTGAAATTAGTCCCCACCTCACGTTAAAATTCTTCTTTTACTGGTTGGTACACCTGCCCTCATTCTACGAACGAGGTTCCCGAGAGAGTAATCTCAAGTCCCGGGTTCCCTAAAAACCTGAGACACATGTCACCGGATTATCTAGATCCGGAGGACAAGATCGAGGCACCTAACCAGCTTGGCGACTCCACTAGGGACTTGCTACCCCTTCGTCGGTTCGCCCTTGTTTGATCAGGTATCACCTTTCACTTTCTGTATTGCATTCATGACATCTGGGTTATTCAACCAGTTTATCCGAGTTGGGGATTTTTTTATCCCAGTACTCATGACTGTCTTGGGGAAGTGAGCCTCTCAAGTCTCATTTCCTACACTCCTCTTGAGCCAGGACTCGCAGTCCGGCTCCCAAGTTCTCTTTTGGATGGGCGCGAGATGGGACTTTAAGGTCCCTGACTCCCCACTTGCTAGCCTTGGTGTACCCTCCACCAATACTTCTCGCATTGGTAGCACATCTGCTACCACACACCGCATGCACCCTGCTACTGACAAGTCCCCTGTCGGTCACATTGCTAAGGTACGCCGAAAGGCTGCCTTATCTACTTTCGTGAAAAGCAAGCAGATTGCCATCACTTATGAGGGTCGTCACAGGGCCACCCCCCATGCTCCTTCACCACCTCAAGCTCCTATTCTTTGAAGCTCGACGCACCAAGGCAGAGACCATGCGTCCTCCACCTCTCACACACACCCAAAGGCTCGTGGTCCACCCACTCGAGCAACACCTCGGGGCAACATACACGCTGCCCTGAGCTCGCGTCCATGGTCAGGCCCTCTCTAGCCAAACCCTGTGCACACTATGTGTCCGCATCCCACAGCTCCGGGCAACGCCAGCCTTGCGTTAGCTCGAGCACATGA